GCTGTTCATATGGGACACTCACTTTAGCAGTGCAATGCAATGAAAATGAGGTGATTTGAGGATCTGTGTGTGTGTGTGTGTGTGTGTGTGTGTGTGTGTGTGTGTGTTTGTGTGTGTGTGTGTGTGTGTGTGTGTGGATGTCGACCTTCAGCTCTTCATGTTTTATCATGTATTCTTCATGTTATCGTCTTTTCTTACATGTATTCACGCTGGCTGCTGACAGTATTAATGTACTTAATGTACTTCACTAAAGAGCTAGATTGTCCTAGAAACACATTACCACTGATTGTGTGTGTGTGTGTGTGTGTGTGTGTGTGTGTGTGTGTGGTAATGAATGTATGCACTCCAGGGTCTCCTGTGAGCAGGGCTTTCAGTTGTATAAGTTTGGATTGTACAAAACGTTGCTTTAATTTTTTTCTTTATTGATATTATTTACCATATATTTATTTTAAAGAAGGACACTGAGATTTAATAAATTATACAACCAACATGACGTCTTGCGTGAGGTGTAAATTTAGCAGTAGTTGTAATCAAAAAGGTCAGTGTGAAGATGAAGTGCTGCATGAACAAACATGGAGACAAACGTAAAAGCATTTCTAACAAAGTGCCTGGATGCAGCCTTCATGTGTCAAGCTGAGACTGCATCACTCAGCGATGCAATGTCAGACAATGCACTCAAATGGAGCGAGTGACATCACTGCGAAGGGTAGGGTTAGGGGTGGGGCTAGGCGAGCCCATTAAAAAGCATTGGATGCAGCCCAGATTGCATCTGCACCAGGTCTGCACCCAGACCCCTCTCTGGTGTACGGGTGGTTTGTCAAGCCCACTCATCTGCATGGAGCACACTCATGGAGTCTACAGTTATGTGATTCATTGTGTACGCTTTACTTAAAAGATGGGTATTTAATCTGCATTCACCGGCCTCTTTATTAGGTACACATTACTAGACCAGGGTTGGTCTTCAAAACTGGCTTAATTTTTTTGTGGTGTAGATTCTACAAGGTACTGGAAACATTCCTCAGAGATTTTGCTCCATATTGACAATAGCATCACACAGTTGCTGCGGATTTGTCAGCTGCACATCCATGATGTGAATCTCCAGTTCCACCACATCCCAAAGGTGCTCTATTGGATTGAAATCTGGTGACTGGGGAGGCCATTTGAGTACAGTGAACTTATCGTCATGTTCAAGAAACCAGTCTGAGATGATTCACGCTTTATGACATGGTGTGTTATCCTGCTGGAAGTAGCCATCAGAAGATCAAGACACTGTGGTCATAAAGGGATGGACATGGTCAGCAACAATACCCAGGTAGGCTGTGGTGTTGACACGATGCTCAATTGGTACTAGGCAGGATAGATCCATGTTTTTATGTTGTTGATGTCAAATTCTGACCCGACCATCCGAATGTGGCAGCAGAAATTGAGACTCATCAGACCAGGCAATCTTCTATTGTCCAGTTTTGGTGAGCCTGTGTGAATTGTAGCCTCAGTTTCCTGTTCTCAGCTGACACCCGGTGTGGTCTTCTGCTGCTGTAGCCCATCTGCCTCAAGGTTGGACATGTTGTGTGTTCAGAGATGCTCTTCTGCAGACCTCGGTTGTAACGAGTGCTTATTTGAGTTACTGTTGCCTTTCTATCAACTGGAACCAGTCTGGCCATTCTCCTCTGACCTGAAATACTCAGACCAGCCCGTCTGTCACCAACAACCATGCCATGTTCAAAGTCACTTAAATCGCCTTTCTTCCCCATTCTGATGCTTGGTTTGAACTGCAGCAGATCGTCTTGACCATGTCTACTTGCCTTAATTCATTGGGTTGTTGCCATGTGATTGGCTGATTAGAAATGTACATTAATGAGCAGTTGAACTAACATGAACTAATACTGTAATCAATGTGTTGTTCATAATTTGTTCGTTAGTAATTGCATTAATTAATATAATCTTACTATAAAGTGTTACCAATAATTTGGACTTACTTGGTGGGCTTTGAGAGTTTGAACACAGGTTTAAATGTGACGCTGAGAATGTAAGGTTACAGTCAGTGATGCAGCTTTTATTTGACGTGTGCCACTCTGAATAAACCCGTCTCTTTTTAAGCAGGAAACATTATTTGATCTCGGTCCATCTAGAGATGCAACTGTGTCTCTGCCTGCTCTCCTCAGATCTCCTTTCAATTCCTGGAGGTAAAGTCAACCTTTAGTAGCCTATTTCATATGTTTTGGCATGCAATGAATGTCTCTTTGTCATTTAAGTGTTCTCACTGCTCTGCTGTGATTGCAGCAAGAAATGAGTAGATTCTTGTAAAAAAAACGCAACCTGTTAGAGAGGATACAAGTGCAAGTAAAAAAAAAAAGTGAAAGACTGGTGAGTGCAGATTTACAGTTTTGCTTTTATTGTTATTATCACATGGCTTATTATTTTTTGTGGTCCTACTTTATGTTAAGGGTGCTTTCACACTAGCACTTTTGGTCCGCACCCCGGTAAATATAATTTATTACCTTCTTTATACTGTAAATAACCATGAAGTCACTTTCCCACAATTCCTTGCATGACACTTTACTTTTGAAGACATTACTGTGGTTCTTTTTAGTTTTATTTCTCTTGAGTTATGCAGTTTAGAGTTTTATGTTACACCTAATGTTAATGTTAATATTTTAATAATTTTTAGAATATTTAAAATACTTTTAAATGTGTGTAACCTTGTGTGACCCTGTGTGACACACACGTGTGTACGTGCGTGTGTGCGTGTATAATATATATACACACACACACATATATATATATATATATATATATATATATATATATATATATATATATATATTAAAGGTGGAGCCGAACCCGAATACGGTATTCGGAAAGACACGAATAGCATGTTTTTACGAATACTTATTTCGAACAAATACTTGAAAATTATTTGTATTCGGGAGCAAGAAAAACACTATCAAAAAGCAGCGTTTCCTCATGAGACCACAGTGCATGCCCGCCCGAGTGAGAGTGAGAGTGAGAGAGAGAGAGAGAGACGCTCAGTCAGTAGTCGGAGGGCGGGGCGGAGATAAAAGGTGTCTGGCACAAGCTTCTCCACAGCAACAGACAGAAGGCTCGGCTGAGCAAAAAAAAAATACTTCACTGCATCACTATTTTTGTTAAATAGATTTTGTACCTTTTTTGGGTTCCAGATGCAGTTTATAAACTTGTAGCAGAGTTGAAGCGGAGTTTGATCGGGATTTTCCATGACGCTGCATTTTTGAAGTTTGCAATCGGGTGCTCTGTTTACGCAACGTTAGCTCTGTTAGCGCGGTAATTTAGACAGACTGTTGACAGAGTAACGTTAACGTTCGTTTATAAAGGTTAAAACGATGCTTGTGCAGTTGTGTCGAATAGTATGCACTTATGGGAGTTATATGGTACGTCTAAATTACTGTCTTTTGCAGACAGCAAGATATATGCTATAGGCTAGTTAACCTTAGCATACTTTCCCGTCACTTTTTATTAACTTGAAACTCCTCAAATACATTTGGGCACCATGAAAAAGAGTGACAAAGACTGCTGCTGAGCCATTTCTTGGTCCTCCACCAGTAAAAAAAATAAAAAACTTCATGTTCTTTGTGGAAGAATTTTACAGTCAGTACTGCTGCAGATAAAACAAACTGATACTGTATAATGTGTGCAAAAGTGAAATCAGCAGAGGCAGAGATATTAAACATCTGTCAACATCTTCTATGCATAATTATTCATTCATTTTCTTTTCGGCTTAGTCCCTTTATCAATCTGGGGTTGCCACGGTGGAATGAACCACCAATTTATCCAGCATTTGTTTTACGCAGTGGCTGCCCTTCCAGCTGCTACCCAGCACTGGGAAACATCCATACACTCTCTTTCACACACATACAATAGGGACAATTTAGCTTACCCAATTCACCTGTATTGCATGTGTTTGGACTGTGGGGGAAACCGGAGCACCCGGAGGAAACCCACGCCAACATGGGGAGAACCCAGTCAGGGCTCGAACCAGCAACCTTCTTGCTGTGAGGCGACAGCGCTACTCACTGTGCCACCGCGCAACCTTCTATGTAATGTATTATCACATGCACTAAAAGCATCCTCTCCTGATACTGTCTGTGAACCCCCCACAAGCATCAATCCCCTCAATCAGCACAGCTCTGTTCTGCTAAATCCTCCACAAGCACCAAACCATCAACACAGCCACATTCTGCCCCAGCAAGTCAGTTTCAAACATAAAAAACAAAAAAAAAACAAAAAATTTTGTGTCTGTTTTGTGGCAGGCAGATGACAATAGCAGGGCTGTATCTTTTAGTATTATATAGAATACTTTTGTTCTGCCAGATCTCCCAGGCAGGGTTTTATTTAGATTTATTTAGTTAATTTTAGTTTTTGGAATTCTGTCTATTGGAAAGAAGTTCTTTCAGAAGAAGAACAGTTTTTTGAAGTATTATTTGTTTTTATTCTGTCTATTCAGTGTCCTTCAACAAGAACGGTGGTGGTGGGTTCATAATATTCACAATGGTATTTTATTAGTTGGTTTAACCATGGATGAGATAATGGCTTCTATGTTATTTTCTTTTCAATGACATTTCTTGTCACATGTTCAAAAACAACAACCAATATTGCATATCTATAATTTATATAATGGGTATAATTAAACAATACTTTAACTATAACGTAAATTAGACGTGTAATAGAAAATATATAAATACAAATACTTTTCCCCCCTCAACAAATACAAATACCGGCTGCTCTGCACATCCCTAATATATATATATATATATATATATATATATATATATATATATATATATATATATATATATATATATATATATATATATATATATATATTCATTCATTTTCTTTTCAGCTTAGCCTCTTTATTTTTTTAGGGGTCGCCACAGCTAAATGAACCTCCAAATTATCCAGCATATGTTTTACACAACGGGTGCCCTTCAAGCCGCAAACCAAAACATCCACACTCTCTTGCATTCACACTCATACACTACAGCCACTTTATTTATTCAATTCACTTATAGCACGTGTGTTTGGACTTTTGGGGGGAAGTGTAGCAGGCTTCAGTGCACCAGGATCACGGTGATCAGAGAAAAGCAGAGGAACATGAAGCTCTGAAGGAAGCTCTCAGCTCCGTTACACAGATTCCCTGAACAACATGTGATGATTTTGTTCAGCTCTCGCTTAAATATTTCTGGCTCATCGCAGACAGATTTCGTCCCGCATCCTTTCAAAGTTTCTGCACCACCTATAAAGGTTAAGAAAGAAAAGTATGTACATGTTTCATGATTCATTTATTCATTTTCCTTCAGCTTATAGTTTCTATTTCAGAGGTCACCACAGCGGAATGAACCGTCAACGATTCCATAAATTTTACACAGCGGATGCCCTTCCAGCCACAACCTAGTACTGGAAAACACCCATACACTCTCACATTCACACACAGACACTCATACTCCAACACTACACATCATCTATAGTGGATGTGTTTTTGGACTGTGGGTTAAACTGGAGCATCCGGAGGAAACCCACTCCAACAAAGGGAGAACATGTAAACGAGAGAGATGACTTTAATGTTTTTTTAATTTATTTAAAGTTTAGTTTAATGTTAAGTTTAAATCTCAGAATGTTCTAAATGAATAGGCCGGGGTTGGGGGGGGGGGGGGGGGTAACTGGGAATAGAACACAGCCAGGAACTATGCTTCTAACTACAGCTCCAGAGGTGCAGTTACAAGTGTACAAGTTTGTGATGCATTTTGCGAATGTTTATTGGAACGACTGATTTAAGAAATGTCAAATCAACGAACAATGTTTGTAGCAATGAAACTTGCGACCTTAGTTAGCAAACGATGGTTTTTGGAAACGCACCCCATGCCAGCTCATTTCCTCCGTCAGAATTTGTCCATTTGACTAATTAGAAATTTAATTACTCTTAAAGCCGCCTTCTATCAGTTATTTTCACAATTTAACGGCATACTGTCAAAAATGGGACAAATAAGCTTGTATAGGAGCTAAATTCTGGACTTTTCCAGTGAGGGTTGGGTCTTTTGAACCACCCGAACCCCTCTAGCTACAAGCCTGATTAATATTTGTATCAATAATAAAAGTACTTACTGTATGCACTAAAGCAGTAGTCTTCATTTCTCTGACAGTTGACTGTTTTTGAGCAGTCCTCCCAATCACAAGCGAAGCATTTCTTTCCATTGGGGGTAGGGGGGCTCAAAACTGAGGGAAAAATTATTACTATGTATTTATCTGATGAGTTTCCATGTACACTGTAAAAAGTTATTAGTTGCTTAAAGCAAGTAAACCAATTGCCTCAAAAGCAACAAGTTGACTCTACAAAGATAATGTAAGTAAACCTATTGTAACTCGGAACTGTCAAGTTAATTTACTTTTTATAATTATGCTTATTGTATTCACTTTTTAAAACTCAACTTTTCCCTTTTTACAGTTTCAGACTATTTGAGTAGGTCTGTTTTCAAATGAATGCTGTAATTTTTACAATATTACATACTTGGTGCTTCATTAAGTCTATAAAATCTACAATTATAGCCTGCATTGAATTTAGAAGACACACTGGAGCAGATTTATTTTAGTTACTGTCATTTTGCTTGATACAGAAAAGCTGGGGAAAAAACTTATATAAAAAAAGGTGTACTGGATAAAGTGATTAGTTTAGTTTACTTTTATTTTTAAAAAGTGAGAACTATTTGCATAATTATAAAAATTAAGTCAACTTAACAGTTTCAAGTTACTTACATAATTTTAAATTACAATAAAGTCAGCTTGTTGCTTTTAAGGCTTTTAAGGTGTACTCACTTTAAGTAACTAATCACTTTTTACAGTGTAGGAAAGGAGTCTGACACACAAATATAGAGCTAAAGGCAAAATTATTCGCCCTCTCATGATATCTTTTATTACATATTTTTCAAATATTTAGTAAATGAGGTTTAACAGATTTAGAATTTTTTTACAGTATTTCTTATGATATTTTTTTCTTCATGAGAAAGTATTATTTGTTTTTATTTTAGCTAGAATAAAAGTTTTTGTTTTTAAAAACCATTTTAAGGTCAATATTATTAGCTATATTTGTTTTCAATAGTCTACAGAACAAACCACTGTTATACAATGACTTCCCTAATTACCCTAACTTTTACCTAATTAACCTAGTTAAGCCTTTAAATTTCATTTTAATCTGAATACTAGTATCTTGAAGAATATCTAGTCAAATATTATTTACTGTCATCATGGCAAAAATAAAATAAATTAGTGATTAGAAATGAGTTGTTAAAACTATTATGATTAGAAAGGTGAAGAAAAAAATATCTCTGTTCAACAGAAATTGGGGGAAATAGACAGGGGGGCTAAATATTCTGACTTCACCTGCACATCTACATGATGTAATGTATTAACTATTTATTATTACCAGTTGTGGAAGGAGTACTGAAAAATCACACTCAAGTAAAAGTACCATTACTTGCCTAAAAATGTAGTGCAAGTAGAGTAAAAGTACCTGTTGTAAATATTGCTCAAAATATGAGTAAAAAGTAGCCCGTTAAATGTACACATGAGTAGTGAGTATTATGCTGTGAAAAGCTTGTGCATTTACATGTAATTTGTGCATGTGTGTGTAAACGTAACATTCTGTAGTGCATTTAGTTATTGCCCAGCAGGCACACAATGTCATAAGATGTTAATATTAGGTTAGATTTAGGTTGTGATGTCAGGTGACCAAAAGTCAATGTCTAGTCAGTGTCTAAGGACAACGTTATTTTGATGTCCAATAATGACATCAAATGACGTTGATATTTGGATGATTTTAGGTTGTGTTAAAAAGTGACCAAAATCCAACGTTGAGCCAGCATCTAAAAACAACATCATATTAACATCAAATACTGACATTTATTCATCAGTTATGGCAACCAAAATCCAACATCTGATAGACGTCATAGTGGTAACGTCCACACAACGTCAAGCTGTAACATCATTACACGTTGATCAACTCGATTTTCATTTCCAAACAAAATGCAGCATCCCTACGATGTTGGGGTACAACTTCAATCTGACGTCATGTTGATGTCTTGTGCCTGCTGGGTGTTTATGGCTATTTCGGTCATCATACTGTAAACATCTGCCATCTTCTCATCAGTGACATGCATCTAAACAGTCTTTGGGTTATTGCATGTGACAGTCTTGGACACTTTTGATGCTTCCAAACAGTTTGATGCAATTATAAATCGCCCATGTCTTGAGGTAGCTCATTGTGATGCAATTTACCTTCTATGTGCGATTTGATTGGACAGGACTGATTTTTCTAATCCTCATAGACAAAAAAAAGAATAATAATAAAGTAGTGACTGCAGGATGAAGGAAAGTAGTGGAGTAAAAGTACCGATACTGCAGTAAAGATGTACTCAAGGGAATTTTTAAAACTATTAGTAAATTACAATTTCTGAGAAAAACTGCTTGATTACAGTAATTTGAGTCTGCGTAATTTGTACTTTACACCACTGATTATTACTCATACTTTTTTCCATTAAAATATAAATGTAATATGCACATGCGAACCAAACATAATTATCAATATCGTCATTAATTCATGGTCAAATAGAGCAGATACCTGGAGCTTTTTGATCATTGCAGAGGTCGTTGTCGCAGCACTGAACAGAATGATCTGTTCTACCGCAGGCTGTGCTGATAGACCAGCTCACACACTGAACCGGCATAACACACCTTTTAGAAACTAGATCAACCTTTGTAACACCTAAAGTGAAAAAGAGAGAGAGAGAATTTAATGATTTCTCCACACAAAAAGCGACAAACCTGACTGCGTCTTGTTTAGAAGAAGCTCCTCTCACTTTGGGGTTTTGTCTTGTTTGGAGAGGGGTCTGGCTGCAGACGTGGTGCGATGCAATTTGAGCTGCATCCAATGCTTTTTAATGCGCTCGCCTAGCCCCATCCCTAACCCTACCCGTCACAGTGATGTCAATAGCTCTATGGTGTGCATTTTGTCTGACATTGCATGTCTGAGCGATGCAATCTCAGCCTGCATCATAAAAGCTGCATCAAAATATTTAAAATATTATTTTATTGGATTATTAGATTTCTCAAAAATCAAGCATAAAATACGGTCTGGTTTTCAGAAATAAACTGTCAAAAGTGAGTGAGTTTTACCTTAAAACCAGCTAAATGTTGGCGCCAATAGCCTAGTGAATAAGTGCGCCAACATATACAGTTCTGTATACAGAAGTCAGTAATTCTGACTTCAACTGTATATTCACAAAAACATACATATCGAAAGTAATAATATTAAAACAAACAATAGGATAAAAAGAAACAATAAAATAAAAGCTTCTTTGACCAAAGTGAAAGGTTAAAATATTTTTTTTAAATGTTGAATTTCGTGTGTTGTTGACAAGTGCTTACAATGTTTTAAAAAGTTCATAATATCAGCACTTACTGGCCACAATCATATACTACACACACTGCATAACTATATAACACAGTAAAAGTGTCCATTATTTAACTGCTTTTTCATTCATGACAGAAATGACTGAGAACAGACTCACCAAAGTAGCTTTCGATTCTTTCACTTGCGCACTTGGTATGTTGACGGTCACACGTCACATTTCCACAGCGGCCTGAATCTTCTGAGTTCTGGCAATCATAACAATTCAGAGAGAAACCTGAAATGACAAAGAGACATTTATATTTACAATTTGATAATGAATGTTGCTACTGTTGCTGCCTGTTGTCTGTACCTCCAGTGAGGAGAACTGACAGAAGAATGACTTGCTGATGCATCTTGTGCGGGGGGAAGTAAGATGAAGAAATTGTGTTTCATGTGTCTTTTAAATAGGGAAGCGTTTTGTCACACCAATAACACAACACTGATTGGCTCCTACTAAAACAATTGCAATAATATCAAGTAAAGTGAAAGTTTATTTGTAGAGCACTCTTTATATTTAAAAACAAGAAACGTTTATCAGTGTGATGTGCATAAAATATAAATTTAGGATTAATAGAGACAGACATTTGACAATAAAAAAAGGAAATCTACACAAAAAAAATGTATTTTAAAAGACATTTTGGGCTCGATTTTAATGATCTAGGTAAAAGCATTAAAGGCATGTCCGAATCAACTTTTGCTATTTTAAGGACGGAAAAATACGGTCTGCATTAACAGGGTCTAACAGGGTTGAGCGAATTCTCTTAATGAGTTCTGGCTGTGTTTTGAGCATAACGTGCATTAAACCAATCTCATTCTCATCTCATTTAAGAGTCAGTTGCGTCGCGCCATGGCACATTTGCTATTTACATGGCAGACTTTGTAAGTGGAAAAACTGAACGCTTCACTAGCGAGAAAACAATTAAACAGAGCATCTGCAGCACGAGGATAAAGAACAAGCCTCCTCTATTCAGCCTCTTTACTTTCTCTTTACTTTACTTTTACTCTTTACTCATTTACTTTCATGGATAAGGAAACGGTGTTGTACGCACTCTACTGCAGACATCATTAGCCTACATATAACATTTATGAATGTGTAGTTGAGAGTGTATGAGTGTTTCCCAGTACTGGGATGCAGCTGAAAGGGCATACGCTGGATAAGTTGGCGGTTCATTCTGCTGTGGCAACCATTGATTAATAAAGGGACTAGGCCCAAAATAAAATGAATGAATGAGTTAGAAGTATATCAACATGAACATACTGAAAAAAAAGTCTCCGCAATTTCCGGTTTACGCTGACTTGAATATCTTCGCATTTCTTACGTTTCAGTGTTTGTTCATCTCTGTGTATGAAAACTATTGAGAAACATCCTCTTTTATGTGGACATCATGGCCACTCCAGAGAACAAGAAACAGACCTTGGACACACACACACACACACACACACACACACACTTAGATCTTTCTTGTCGTTATATTGCTTACTTTCCATGTTTGATCTCTGCTTATGTTGATTGGATGTTCAGCACATTCTGTGGGCTAGTGTATATACAGCAGAAGTATGATTATGTAGAAATATGTTTATATATTGGGCTGCTGAACACCTGGTTCTAATTAGCTGACAAATATGCAATTATTTTCAGAGAAACACACAAACACAGTTAAAGTATTTAAAGACAGGTTGAGAGCGCATTACAGATCCATATTTCCTACACCAGTGGTTCTCAAACTTTTTTCATCAAGAACCACCTCAGAAAAAAATTATCTCTCCAAGTACCACCAAAATGAGCAGTATGGAAATACAGTAGGCCTAGTAAAGAGGCTACAACTCTGCTCAGTTAAAAAAAACATGGCAGATTACAGGCTATATGTCATATATAGCATATTATATACATCATTTTTGATAAATTTTGAAATATATGTAGCATGTACATGCCATATGTCATTCCTCCGCGTACCACTAGAAGGAAGCCACTGCACTACACTGTAAAAAATGGTGCAAAATTTACAGTATTATTGGCAATTTTGCAGTATACTAAGAATTTTTACATTTATTCATTCCTTTTCCTTCAGCTTAGTCCCTATATTTATCAGGAGTCGCCACAGTAAAACGTCACAGCAAGAAAGCCGCTGGTTCGAGTCCTGGCTGGGCTAGTTGGAATTTACTGTGTGGAGTTTGCATGTTCTCCCAATGTTGGCGTGGGTTTCCTCCGGGTGCTCCGGTTTCCCCCACAGTCCAAACACATGCGCTGTAGGTGAATTTAATAAATTAATATTGGCTTTAGTGTATGAGTGTGTGTGGGTGTGGGTGTTTCCCAGTACTGGGTTGCAGCTGGAAGGGTATCTGATGCGTAAAACATGTGCTAGAATAGTTTGCAGCAATAAGGGACTAAGAAGAAAGGAAATGAATAAAAGAAGGATGCAGTTTATTAACATCCCACTTATCACACACAAACACACACACACAAGCATTACTTATTCATTAATTCATTCATTTTCTTTTCAGCTTAGTCCCTTTATTAATCTGGGGTCATCACAGCGCAATGAACCGCCAACTTATCCAGCGTATGTTTTAAGCAGAGGATGCCCTTCCAGCTGCAACCCATCACTGGTAAACATCCATCCATACACACTCATTCACACACATACACTTCGGACAATTTAGCCTACCCAATTCACCTGTACCACATGTTTTTAAACTTGAAGGGGAAACCGGAGCACCCGGAGGAAACCACGCGAACATGGAGAGAACATGCAAACTCCATAGAGAAACGCCAACTGAGCTGGCTAAGGCTCGAACTAGCGACCTTCTTGCTGTGAGGCGAACATGCTACCCACTGCACCACCGTGCAGCCCAAAACATTACTCCAAAAGATTAATCAATTATTAATTAGCTACATAATCAGCGTTGTATTTAAATGACTTTTCTAACTACTGATGGAAAATAAATAATTAAATTAGTTAAACATTTGTAATCTTTAACATTTTCACAATAACTCTATTCGAACTTGAAAAGTTGCACTTAATGTTTAAAAGCATTACTTTACTTTAAGTTAGTATGTAAACCCATTGCCTTAAAAACAACAAGTTTACTTTACTTAAAAATATAAGTAACTCCCTTGTAACTTGGAATGATTCATTCAGCTTATAATTATGCACATAATAATTTACTTAATAATTTTAAGGCAATGGATTCACTCACTCACTTTTTAAAGTCAAGTCAACTAATCATTTTAAAACCAATGGGTTTACTCACTTTAAAGCAAAGTAATCACTTTTTACAGTGTTGAAAGTGCAGTGTTAAATAAAGTATCTATAAGGGATAAGGTCAGGTTCAGGGCGTGTGGAAAGTCCCATGTTTCATAAACACTCAATATTGTCACATATTTCAAAATGAACTTATTTCTTACTCAATTCATTGTTTCTTAAGTGTGAGCAATCGTCTTACAACACTCTCAGAAATGAAGGTAAAAAAGCGTTCACTGTGGGGAGATATTTTTATATGAAGTATACATTTGTTCTTAATCTAAACCACAGGTGTCAAACTCAGTTCCAAAAGGGCCGCAGCTCTGCACAGTTTAGTTCCAACCGTAATTAAACACACCTGATCAAACTAATTGAGTCCTTCAGGCTTGTTTGAAACCTACAGGTAAGTGTGTTGGAGCAGGGTTGGAACTAAACTGTGCAGGGCTTCGGCCCTCCAGGAATTGAGTTTGACACCCCTGATCTAAACTAATATGCACACTTTATGTACAAATATGGACAATTTAAGTAATAATATACTTTTTTAACACTTTATTTATAGGTGTTTTTTTTATTTGCACTAAACAGAAAAACAAGCAAACATAAACATCCCCAACACTTTTGTGCCTTTAACAGAAAAGAAATATAGCTCAGTCTGCAAACATCAAAGTCCTCAAGCGTCATATGCACAGCAAGCGTATAGGGTGCATGCATACACAACACCAATACAGTAATACCAAATAAATAAAATGAATAAAAATGTAAAAAGGAAAAAATGAAAAGATATTATACACATAAAAAGCGAACCGTTCAATGTGTAATAGCAGGAAGGTTCTGTTTACCTTTAATACAAGCAAGCTGTGAAAGGGATTACAAGGTTACAGTAAGGGGAAGGAGGAAAGAAAAAAAATGTTTATGTCTATGTCTATGGGTTTCAATATCCTCCTGCTCTACAAATTGTAAATTGTCAACATAAAAGGGAGACCATGTTTTGAATAATATACTTTTTGAACCCCTGAAAGTAATGTAAAAGTAATGTTGTATTTTTGTTGTTGTTAAAAAAATAGAATTACGCTGCAAATAATCTGAAATTTCACTAATTTTCTTTTCGGCCTTTATTAATCTGGGTTCGCCACAGCAGAATGAACCGCCAACTTATTTCTTACTCAATTCATTGTTTCTTAAGTGTGAGCAATCGTCTTACAACACTCTCAGAAATGAAGGTAAAAAAGCGTTCACTGTGGGGAGATATTTTTATATGAAGTATACATTTGTTCTTAATCTAAACCACAGGTGTCAAACTCAGTTCCAAAAGGGCCGCAGCTCTGCACAGTTTAGTTCCAACCGTAATTAAACACACCTGATCAAACTAATTGAGTCCTTCAGGCTTGTTTGAAACCTACAGGTAAGTGTGTTGGAGCAGGGTTGGAACTAAACTGTGCAGGGCTTCGGCCCTCCAGGAATTGAGTTTGACACCCCTGATCTAAACTAATATGCACACTTTATGTACAAATATGGACAATTTAAGTAATAATATACTTTTTTAACACTTTATTTATAGGTGTTTTTTTTATTTGCACTAAACAGAAAAACAAGCAAACATAAACATCCCCAACACTTTTGTGCCTTTAACAGAAAAGAAATATAGCTCAGTCTGCAAACATCAAAGTCCTCAAGCGTCATATGCACAGCAAGCGTATAGGGTGCATGCATACACAACACCAATACAGTAATACCAAATAAATAAAATGAATAAAAATGTAAAAAGGAAAAAATGAAAAGATATTATACACATAAAAAGCGAACCGTTCAATGTGTAATAGCAGGAAGGTTCTGTTTACCTTTAATACAAGCAAGCTGTGAAAGGGATTACAAGGTTACAGTAAGGGGAAGGAGGAAAGAAAAAAAATGTTTATGTCTATGTCTATGGGTTTCAATATCCTCCTGCTCTACAAATTGTAAATTGTCAACATAAAAGGGAGACCATGTTTTGAATAATATACTTTTTGAACCCCTGAAAGTAATGTAAAAGTAATGTTGTATTTTTGTTGTTGTTAAAAAAATAGAATTACGCTGCAAATAATCTGAAATTTCACTAATTTTCTTTTCGGCCTTTATTAATCTGGGTTCGCCACAGCAGAATGA